TGTAAATTTATATTTTAGTGACTCATGTATAGCTTTATAATAGACATGGCGGCAATTTTATTGGCTCACATTTAAAATATTATGAAACAAGATTAGATTAAAAATCATATAAGTAGTTTTTTTAAAACTAAAACTGTGACCTGGGCCTGGTAGCTCACACTTGTAACCCCAGCACAGAGGCTGGGGCAGGAGGATCACATTGAATCTGAGGCCAGACTGGGGCTACATAGCAAGACCCTATCTCAAAAACAAAACAAAACCAAAAGCCCAAACCAAACCAAAAACTAAACTGTGTTAAATCTTAAACCATAATAAATGCTGAGGGATCAGGTGCGGTTTATTTCCATGGCCCGTGGAGGAGGTTGTACTACTTAGTTAATGGGAAGATCTTGAACAAATTAGAGTGCAGAAAAGAAAGATTAATGCTTGACCAGGCCAGTGACACCGGAAGCTGAGAGAAAGGAATGGACTTTGGAAACAGTAGGAGAGAGGATTGTGAAGGCTCAGTGACCAGGGTTTGGAAAGGTTGGGAAAGGAAGGAATCAAAAGCAGTTTCTGGGATTCTAGCTTGAGTGACTGAAGCTTTTAAAAAATTGTGATTACAGGGTTTGTAACATTCTCTGTCACATATTTACTTTTGCTTTGGGACTTGTGTGTAGTGCTTCCTGAAATTAAGAAGAAAGCCCTTACAGGGGAGCCCACCCTTTTCTTCCAGCTCAGGGAACATTGCAAGAGGTGGGCATTAGAGACTGTAAGACACACACACACACACACACACACACACACACACACACACACGCACAAAACCCCAAACCAAACCCTTTAGGGTAAATAATAAGGCCCTACGGTTTCTTTTTATGTTCCAACTGAAAATCGGAGTGCCTCAACTGCCCTGCAGCTCAGCTACCGGTTGCCTGAACCTAGTGCCTCAAAGATTCCTAGGCACTGATAAAAGGTGTCTAGGTTATAGCCCTAAACACTGAAAGTAAATAGCCCCTGTTCCCCAGCGAGATTCCTTACACCTTGGAGGAAACTACACCCACTGACCCCTGGCCCGGACACACCTAGGGGAAACCTCTCTGTCCATTGCAGTGGCGCTGCAGCTTTGCTGTAAGTAAATTTTCCTAAGCAGCGCTTTTCACTGCTCACCCTAGCATTTGATGCTGCTTTCCTTGGAGTCAGAACTGACCTACCTTCGAACTGATCTATTTCCGAAGGGTTTGAGGGACTCCCTTGAAGAGTCTCCCTTGCAGCCACTTTTGGGGAAATTTCAGCTGTGGTTTTGGCTGGACAAGAGTTACAAAGGAGGGGAAGGTGGAGAAGCCCAGACCTAGCTAAGGCACAACTGCTGAGAGAGGAGGGGCTGTGGGGCATTTGCTGACTCTGAGGTGAGTCTCAGAGGCACAGTGGAAGCAGGGTTGGAGGAGGAGCTGCCAGAAGAGTTAGGGATAGGGTCAGATCCAGGTGGGGCCCAGAAAACCCCAGATCATGCCTGGAGAAGCTTCAGCGTGGTCAGCCCCATGGCTCCATGCTGAGGGTGTTCTGGACTTGAGAGTCAGGTGAATGAATGGATGGAGTCAAGCCCAGAGTTTCAACCAGCACTGTTTTGTTTGTTTGTTTGTTTTTTTGTTTTTGTACCAGGGATTGAACTGGAATTCTGGACCTTGTGTTTGCAAGGCAGGCAGCGGAACCACTGAGCTAAATCCCCAGCCCCAAAAGACTGTTCTTTTAGTGGTTTTGGTACCTCTGTGAAAAATGATTTGTCTAGCTGGGTGTGGTAGTTGCACACCTCTAATCCCAGCACATGGGAGGCGAAGGCAGGAGAATGGTAGTTTGAGGCCGGCATGGGCAACTTGGTGGGACGTGTGGGACATTGTTTCAGAATAAATAATAAAAAGGGCTGAGGATGAAGGACCCTTGGATTCAATCCTCAGTACAAACTAAACAAAGGAACAAAGGTAGCCCTAACTAAGCTTTGAATTTAAAATAAACCTCACTGATGAGCTGTCCTTAAGATGTGACTGTAAGAAGTTAGTGATTTTTAAGTAGGAGAAAATGAGCTCAGCAAGAATGAAATTAACTTACTTTTGAGCTTGTTATAAAAGTAAGTGAGCACAGTAGCTTTTACTTTCTTTAAAAATATACATTTTTCTTATTTTAGAAGTAACATGCATTGTCATCTTGAAAAAATGTAGAGAAGGAAGGAAACAGTCTTATTTCTGCCACTCAGAGAACCACTGTTAACTTCATCTTGTATAACCTCCAGTTCTTAAATAAGCAAAGAAATAAAAAGGTACTTAAAAAATATTAACAGCCAAATGTGATAGCACCTGCCTATAATCCCAGCATTCTAGAGGCTGAAGTTGAAGAATTCCAAGTTTGAGCCCAGCCTGGGCAACTTACTGATTTAGTAAGACCCTGTTGCAAAATAAAAAATACAAACAGGGTACTTCTCAAACAGCCTCAGTCTTTCATATTCTTCTGTAATCTAATTTATAATGTGTACAAGGTAGTCTAATATCAAGTATACCACAATTCACTTTTTCTAATTTACTTGTGGGCATTTAGGTTTCCATTTTATTTTTTAGTTTTCTTTTCGTGATACTAAGGATTGATCCAAGCCCTATTCATTCTAGGCAAGTTACTGAGTCAAATCTGCAGCCCTTTTTATTCTTTATTTTGAGAAAGGGTCTTGCTAAGGTACTCAGATTGGTGTCAAACTTCTGACTTTCCTGCTTCAGTCTCCCAGGTAACCAGAATCATAGGTGTGTGCCATGACTCCTGGTTTCTTTGATTTAAAAAAAAAAATATATATATATATTTTGGACATTTTTTCATTTATACATATGTTGTACATATTGCAGTGATTTTTAATTTTTTAAATACATATCTGCAGTACATAATGACCACATTCATCATTGCATTGATTTTTTAAGGTTGAGTTTTCAGAAATCAAACTATTAAAGAGCATAATTTAAAAATGCTTTTGAAACTCATGGCAGTACTCTTTCAGAAGTGTTGGCATAGCTCACATTCCTACCAGTAGTATTTAGTTCTCATTTCTCATGAACCTTGACAGAAGTAGGTACTATCTTAAGTCTCTCACTCTGGACACAGGGCAGGAGGTTTTATTCTTGAAGGGTGGTGATATGCTTCAAGGTTTATCTACACTGTATGTCCTTCCTCTCTTGACTCAAGGTGCCCTGTGCTTTCATATCTTCCCTGCATTTCAATTGTGAAGTCATCTCCGGAGCTCTGACTCTGCCTTGTGCACCACTGTGTGTGTCCCACGTGTGTGTGTTCCACGTGTGTTCAGCACGTGACTCTCCGTAGAAGCACCAGCCACACTAAGTGCACTAATGCACGAAGAGCTTCCCCCGTCCACCCTCAGCCCCAGCCTGTCTTTCCACTTTATTCCCCACAGATCCCTTCTGTATTGGCTTCCTGTATTACCATAAACTTAGTCCTTAAAACAACAAAACCTTATTCTGTCGCAGTTCTGGAGATGAGCAGTCCAATATCAGGGTGTCCGCAGGGTCATGTTCCCTCTGGAGGCCCTTGCGGAGGATCCTTCCTGACCTCTTCTAGTTTCTTGTGTCTTCAGGTGTTCTGTGGCTCGTGCCTCGTCATCCTTTCTCTGCCTCCCTCTTCCCATTGTGTTCTCCTTTCTTTTATAAGGACTCTGGTCATTAGATTAAAGGTCTCCTCCAGTACTCTAGGATGATCTCAATTGGAGATCCTTAATTTAATTACATTTTCAAAGACTCCTTTTCCATTTAAGTCCCACAGGTCCCAGGAAGTGGACGTGGACATATCTTTTTGGCTGCTACAATTCAACCATATCCTCCAGAAATCCTGTTCCTTAGCTGATCTGGCATCTCTTCACTACATATCAAACTTTCTGTCACCTGTGCCTGTCCTTGTCACACATCTGTTATCCTGGCAGTACCTCATGTTTTTGGATGCTGAGATTCCATTCTCCCTGCCTTTGCTGGGAAGCCTCCGACCTCTCCATGTAGAGGGAACTACTCATTGGAAACCCACCTGCCTGCTGCTCACGGTGTGGCTTGCTCGCCCTCTACAGAAATCCTCTCTTGGGCTAGCTGTGGGTTATCTTGCTAATGACTCCATATAGGACTGGAGGTTGCTGCTTGTATTTATTCCCTTCCTTGTGTTCCTTATGCAATCACAGACATTTTTTAGAGACTTTGGAAATACTTGTGAATGCTAAGAAGTATCAAGGAAATAGGTTCAGATTTAGCAAAGTAAAGGCAAATAGCCCACAGTCATAATTAAGCTGTAAGAACATATATATGTGTGTGCATCTAGCAGGGAATTTTATGTATGTAGGTAGTGTGTGTATGTATATGTTGGTTTAGCAGGGATTAGGTTTTGACTTCAGTGTCTGTAATAAATGGTGTATAAAGAACAAGGAATGGCCCCAGGGACTTGCAGGGCCTGAAATCAAATGACAGTCTGGCTGTTCTGACTGGCAGATCATCGCTCAAGGTCACCCTGCTATGGTTCCTACCACTTCTTACTGACTCTAGAGTAGTTCAAATGTCACAAGATGACCTGCCCTTAAAGGTTTGAGTTTCCACTAAACCTTTCAGGGCTTTTCCCAGTGGGCAATTTCTCTGGGTGTCATTTCCATTCCCATCTGTCTCACTGCCGGCAACAGCACCCCCATTGCCAACTCTCAGGCCTCCTTTGCTCCCCCCACACCCCCACCGTCTCTAGCCTCTAATTTCCTTAGCCTTCGGCTCCAGTATGACTGCCTGGCTCTGCAATGGACCTGTCAGCCCCAGCTGCCTTAGATGCAGAGTGACGCACACTCCCTGTCCCCAGTGTAGACTGACTTCATCGTAGTCTCTTCAGATGTGGAGGAGAACAAAGGAGGAGCAGAGATCCATGTGCCAGGGACTGTGGGAGGTCATGAGAGATCTCTCCACCCCAGTGTGGAGATTCCAAGTCACCTTGTGTTATATCTTATTTTTCAGATCGATCGTGTCCTGTGCTGAAGATGTTTCCAGAACAACAGAAAGAGGTATGTCATCACCAGTCTGAATTAAATAACCCACACATTTGACTTTACTTCAGGTTACTAATGCATTCACTAACCATAAACTCATGGTATCACGGGAGAGAGCTAAAGGAAGAGCAAAATACCCTCACTTAGGCGTTCTCCCCCTTTCATAGGTGCATCTGTGGCCTTCACTGTTTGGTTCTAGTGACTAAGCTGGAGGGCACTGTGCCACTTGTCCTTGTCAAAAGCATCTTTTCCAGTGACTCATACTTTCCTAGGCTCTGCTTCTCACCTTGCCCCTTGAACCTTCTCCCTCTGGTCTACTTTCTCTTTCATTGACTCCTTGAGTTCTCCCACTCTTGGGTGACAACCAGGGGAAACTGCCATGAGTATCAGTTCTGGCTTGGTTGTTATCTTCTGGGTTTCTGGGTTTTTTTTTCCCCACACAGTTCAGGAAAGGTTGTGCTTTCCTGACTACAGCCTGGCCTCCAGGCCTCCAAACCCAGATTCCTGGGCTTCTTTTTGGAGCTTAGCTAGTACAGTTGTTTGTTGGTGTCCACAGGGGATGGATTCCAGGAACTGCCCATGGATACCCAAATCTGCCCATGCTGAAGTCCTTTATGTAAAAACATAGTTGCATAAATCTTTGCAGTGTGATGTCCACATGCAGTGTAAATCCCATGTAAATAGTTGCGTTGTGTAGGGAAGAATGAGCAGAAAGAAAAATCTGTACATATTTAATTCAGTGGCAAGTTTTTCTTGTTCCTTCCAGTATTATCACCGTGTGTTTGGTTGAATCCTGGGATGCAGAACCTGCAGCTGTGTTGGGCTGACTGTAGCTGTAGTCCCCATTCCTCTGGATGCCAGAACTGGCACAGTGTGGCCCAAAGTGCCCATGATAGTCTCGTACAACTGTCCAGTGGCCAAAGCCTCAGGCGAATGAGGCTGGGCAAGGGCGAAGTCTACACCTCTGAGTAGAGTGAATTCTTCACTACACAGCTGCGCTGGCCTGGCACTCCAGGGTGGGATAGGCCCCACACTAGCACTATTCCAAAGTCACATTTAAAAGTTTTCCTTTTAAATTCCCCTGAAAACAAGAAAAGCTTTTTTCTCAAGTTATTAGAAGCTTTTAAGACTGGGGATTTAGCTCAGTGGTTCCACCACCTGCTTCGCAAGAGCAAGGTCCTGAGTTCCATCCCTGGTATCAAAAAGCAAAACAAAACAAAACAAGAAAACCAAAATACAAAAAGAAGCTTTTAGCCAGGTCTGCAGTCTTAGCCCTGGGAGGCTGCCTTAAAATAAAGAATACAAAAGGTTGGGGATACAGCTCAGTGTGAAAGTCCTCGGTTTAATCCCCAGGACCCAGTACTGAGAAAAAATAAAGTAGCTGGCTTTGTTGGTCAGTTTAATGATTTGATTTATTATAAATTCATTTCGGTGACTAAAACCAGCTACATGAAGAAAGCATGTATTGACTTTGAAAATGTCCTTATAAATAATTTATCAAGTGATATTTTAACATTAAAGAATTTTAAGCTTAAAAGTCTTTGATGGAAAAGGAAAAAATAAATACTACAAACAAGTGTAATGTTGAAAAATTTATGTTAGCCTTTGTCAGCAAGAAATGGCATGAACAGCACATCCTATACAGTAATTCGTGACTGTTTATTCCCCTCTGTCCACTTTCTACATCCAGATGATCTTTCTTCTGACCTGCGGCTCTCAGAACAGATTACAACCCCTTCATTTGGGGTTCTGGGGCCCTGCAGGGCTCAGACCTGCTTCTTCCTCTGGACTCACCTCTTGCTCCCTAGCACTACTCCTGGGCACTCCTCACTCCTGTCTGAACTTAGTTGGAGCCTTGAACGCTCTTGCATTCCTGTGCCCCGTGCTGTCCATGCTGGCATCGTGTCTTCCCCCAGGCTGCACACAGTGGGTTGACTGCTAATGCTTTGTTCTACTTCAGTCTTCAGTGTAGAATCAAGAAAGCCTCACTTACTAAAGGTATTTTTGTATCCTTGCTTATCCCAAAAGCACTCTGTCGTTACTGCCAGTTAGAAGAGGGGAAGTTTCCCTGAGCTTTGCAGTGTCCTAGTGGCCTCTTGTTGGCTAGTGGAAAATAAGTCTGGTTTCATCTAATTGTGCAAGTGAGGCTCAAGTGCAACATCACTCATTATTTTAGAATCTAGACCAAGGTGCGATGTTTCCATCTGGAAGTAGCAGACATTACTAATTAGTCATGAGGTTGGCATGTGAATTAAGACCTACTTGCCTTTTTGTTCAAGATTCAGATGGCCTGAAGTGACATCTTGATTCTATAGAACTGGTAGTGCCAGCCTAAAAGTCTGACATTTCTTTTTAAGATTTGGGAAATGCGGTGTTTCTTCTTAAAACAGCTTTATTACTATAATAAATCTAGTGAGACGGGAAAAGGGATCGAGAGTCTCCCTTGTTAGTTAAACATGTTCCATTTGCACATTGGCTTGAATTCCCAGGAGACCAGTATCTGGGCTGATGGATCTTCTCCATAAAAAGGCCTTGGCATTAGGCCATTGTAAAATTAAAATGAATTCAGATTCATTCATGCATGCAACTTTAATTTACAATTAAACTATTATGGTTACATATTTAATAAGAATAATTAGATGGACCCAACTGAATCAACTTTTGTGTTTAATGAGACAGAACCCAGAATCCAAATGGAAAGGCAGGTGGCTGTGACAGGAAACACGATTCAGACAGTGTCTTTTGTGGAGTCAGGCATTTTTGCTCTTTTTATATTCTGATGTCCAGAATGAGCAGTTTTATTTCCCTCCACCACTAAGGTCCCCTGCTCCCAGCCTCCCTGAAACTTTTCTGTGGTGTGTGAATGAGCAGCTTGCACCTGCAGCACATGGGCTGTTCTCAGAGATTGACATCCAGGCATTGAACCTCATAGGCACTGTTCCTTCTATAAAGGCTCAGCTTGTTCCCTGGCTGTTGGTGTAACTGGAGCCTCTTACCATGGGTAAACAGAAGGGTGGGTGAATCCCTTGTGTCTGTGTCTGTATATAGGGGCATGAGCCTTCCCCACTCTCTTGGACCATGGTGGCCACATTCTTCCTTTAGAGATTTATAATTTTGGGAATAAGAATCTTTTTTCCCCCTTCAAAATATATACAATCTGAACTGAACAACTCCCGGGCAACTGCCAGTTATTGGCACCTGAGTGACAATAAATCCATCAGTAGAGCAGGCCTACATGGGCCCAGGATTGTTCCACGTACTGTGAGGACAGACCCTGCCACTGAGGGAGAAGACAGGCCACTGCAGGGGAGATGGGAGGGACATGGTGCCATTCTGGACGAGTAGACTCTAGGGGTAATAGTAACATGTTCGAGACATATTTATGCCAACTGATGGTCACATTTCCAACTCGCTCTAGAAAAGCATGTTTTTTGTTTCTGTTTTTGCAGCGCTGGGGATTGAATCTAGGGTATGCTATGCAAACACTATACCGCTGAGCTACACCACTGAGCTACATGGGAATACGGATTGGAAGCTGACTGGGCTAGAAGCAGTAAATATCTCTAAGGAATAAAGATTATTGCCTGGGTGCCTTCTGACACTGGGAACTTTGAAGGGAAACAACAAAACAAGGCAAAACACTTTTTGAGGTGGCTGAGGATATAGCTCAGTGGCAGAGCACTTGCTAAGCATGGGCAATGCCTTGTTTGGTCCTCAGCACTCATGCACAGGCACCCCCCTCCCCCCATGCACAACCCAAACAGAATAAACATAAAAGAATCCTCCTCTCACACCCTAAAGCCTAAATTTGTTCTTTTCCTGCTTTCTTTTTTCCCTCCCTCTCTTCTTGTTCTCAGTTTCTGTTGTTACACTCAGTCTAAGTTTTTTTTTTTTTTTTTAATAGCATGTTTTCCATTAGAGGAAATTTATATTCTTCTATAAGCAAAGAAAAGCAGCTGGGAATACCCTAGAGCATGCAGCCGGTTTCAGAGAACATTGCTGTCATTTGGAGCATTTGTGTTACAGCTACCTGAGGGCTGCTTTTTCTGAGCCAGCCCCAAAGAAAAACTCCAACCCCTCCCTCCCATGTCCCCACCCTGCTTTTTCTCCTTCTTCCAGATTTTAAAAAGTTAGTTCACTACAGAACATTTTTGGAAAAGTATTAAGAACAAAATTTGAGCTCTTTCACTCTAGTCTTTTTTATATGTATGTGTATGTCATTTTAAGAAAGTTGAGATCATACAGAATTTATAGTTTAATATCTGACTCTTCTAGCTTAGTGTTCTGATATATTTCAAGAAATAAGGTACAAATTGTGATTAAATAAGAAGTGGCTTCAGAAAAGAAAAACTTGTGAACATGAACTTTCCACATTTGTTAAGAAATGAAAAAAGAGTAACTTTGTAGGGGAGAAATGTTACAAATACTACTTCAGCCTGGTGATCAGAGTTAACATCAACAATAGAAAGTCACGTGGACAGCATGGCCCCTAGATGGGATGTCATAAAATAGCACCTATGGTCTTCCTTCCAGACACTTAGAACCACAGTCTACTCCTGAGACGAACACCAGGACATCATCACGGGGACATTATACTAAACACCTGACTAGTTCTGTTCAGCATCTTCCAGGTCATCAGAACCAAGAGAAGTCTGAGGAAGTATTCTGCCAAGAGAAGTAGAGGGGGCATAATGACTATAATGTGACATCCTGAATGGGAGGGACACAGTTTCAGAAAAGTATGTTGCTTAAACTGGTGTTTACCTAATAGCCAAGTAAGTAATTTCCTCCCTCCAAAATAATGCAACTAAAGTACAACTGGACATTGCATAGTAGTTACAGTTGCTAACAGATATACCAGAGAGCACACATTTGCAGGTACAGGCTTTGAACAAGGCTATCCTGGGTCTGACACCCAGCCCTTCTTTACTGGCCAGTTGACTTTGGGCCAGTTGCTTAAACTTTACAGTACTTATTTTTCTTATCTGTAGAACTGGGATGAAAAGGTTACCTTGTTTGTAGGATTGTTATAAAGATTGAAGGAAAATATGTGAAACAGCCAGTGTCCCGCACAGGTACAGCTATTTTTAAATTGATTTCATGTCATATCAGAGACAAGGGGTAAAAAAGCTAAAAGGTGAGCCTGGATCTGGGGTGGGGAGAAACAGGGTTCACTGAAACCAGAGAGTGGGTAGCTGTGGCAAACCCACAGTGAGATTTGCCTAGAGGCTAGGGCTCTTTCTTCCTTAAAAAGCCTGTTTTCACGTGGAGAACAGGAAGGAACAGCTAGTTTAAATTTTTAATTCCAGTCTGCCTGGTGTTTTCTTTCATATCAGAGATAGTCATTAGGCCCAAGAAGTCATTAAAGTGTTTAATAAGGTTATTAAATTGACTAACTGCTGCTGCAGAAGCCATTTCCATAGGAAATCCATATGATTCTAGGTGTGGAACTCTGGGGCTGTCCCTCTGTGGCTGACGGGCTGTCAGCGTTGCCTTGAAGGATGGTGGGTAGGTCGTGAGGGATGCGTCTAATTACGAGATTATAGGTGAACCTCGGCCACCTGGGCAAGCTATTCTATAGCTAGAAGTATGGTGAAACTTCACTAATTTCTACTAATTGCAGGGGAGGGGAGGAGAGGCCCATCTGAATTATAGAATATTTTAAAATAAATGTACTTTTATTGCATTCAAGTACATATTTTAGCTCCAACTAGGCTAACAAATTATTGCCTCATCCAAGACTTTGGGGACTAAGTTATTGAAGCTATCAGAATGATTTTCAATTATTTCTATGTAAATAGGCACTTCTGGAGTTCTTTAGGGTGCTCAGAAACAGTTTGCGCTCATAGATCTTAAGCATTGCTCTGGTAGCCTTCTGCTGTTAATTGGCACACCCTTGGCAGAAGGGGTTGGTTAAATTAAGATAAACATTAAACCAGCTGTGAAATAACTTATCATTAATACACAGAGTCGAAGAATCCACGTGGAGGGGCTTTTATTTCAGCTGAAGTTTAATTTTGTTCTTCTGTTCTTCCGCGTTGGCGATTTGTTCCTTCCCGCGGCATTCATTTGTTCATTAGCTGATTGAATAGGTGTGTTGGAGGTGCCAGGCGCTCACACTTCACCTACAGTCTGCGCTGCCCTGAACGAGCTTGAGGCCTACGGGGTGGGGCGGGAGGTGAGTAGGGACTGTGCCCAGCCTGGAGGCTTCAGGGGCTCAGAAAGGTAAATACACCAAAGCGGGTGAACCAGAGGAGGGTTTCCAGAAGGAGCGTGGACTGAGTTGCATTGAAAAATGAATTGGAGTTTGCAAAAAAACAGGAAAAGAGAAGGGTAAAGAGAAAGGAGTAGGTTGGGGACAGCACTCCAGACAGGACAGTGTGTTCAAAGGTATGAGGTGTAAAATAGCAAGTTGTGCATGGAAGGTAAGCCACCTTCAGAGACAAGTCCTGCACAGGTTGTGAAAGGCTGTGTTGTGCTAGCCAAGGAGTTTGAATTTGATCATAAAGATTACTGGGCGGCCAGTGGATTTTACAAAAGGTAAAAGTTGCCCTTTTTACAAAGGGAAGCAACATTAGATTGTGTTTTGGAGTTATTTTTGTCTAGTGTGGGGGATGTGTTGGATATGAGCCCAGAGAGCAATTAGTAGTTCTTACATCAGTGTTGGGCAAGAGGTCCTTGAACCAGGGCAATAGCAGAGGGAATTTGTAGGTGACTCCTGAGAAGGTGAATCTGAAATACTTTGGTCAGATGTAGAAACTGAAGTTTATCATTTAGGAGGTGGGTGAGCCAGAATTTATTCCAGTCTTGTGACCAGAAATTCAGTGCTTTTTCCATGAAAAAGGACATGTTTTCAGTGCATATGTTAAGAGTGGGGCAATAAACCAGGCTTGGTGGTGCACGCCTATAGTTCCAACACTTGGGAGGCTGAGGCAGGAGGATCACTGCCAGTTTGAGGTCAGCCTGGGCTACATAGTGAGACCCTGTCTCTAAAAACAAAAAACAAAAACAAACAAAAAAAGAATGGGACAATAATAAAGAAATAGGGTTACAAAGCCTCTTCCAATCAGAACTGTATGTCATTGCTATTATCATGGATATGTTGTGTGTTGTATAGCAAAGTACATAGCATTATAATAATTAGATTTTATAGTTTTTGTTCAGAAGCCTTTTTATTTTTATTTTATTTTATTTTTTGTTACTGGGGATCAAACTCAGGACCTTGCATTTGCCAGGCTGGCACTGTGCCGCTGAGCTAAATCCTCAGCACCAAGATACCTTTTTTTAAAAAAAAAAAATCACAAATCTGTAGCCACATGACAAATATACTTCTCTTTTCATCTTTGTTTAGTCTGTATGAAGGCTACTATTTCAATAATACGTACATATCTTCTTTCCACTGTTAAACTCTGAGCAGCTGGAAGTAGTTCATCTCCCTTTTTGGTATATCCAGGGCCTTGTGCCTCTTCAGTGGAAAAAGAGGTGCTGCCAGAACCCTCTGAGGAAGTGTGGCTTCTGTGTGAGGTGGCTACTGGACGCTGTCCCTCTCTTCTCCGCTAGGAACAATGCCTGGCACTCACACCATGTTTAGGGCCCCATGAAGTCATTTTAAAGTGAGAAGAATTAATTTTTATTTCAAAGAATGGCTTTAATGTGTCCTAGTAATATATTTATCTTTACACTACTAGTTAGAAAGTGTTAGAAAGTACAATTTTATATATTTTCTGTGGGAAAGGACCCATGAATACAAACATATCTAAGGCTCATGAAGGTCAGGATGCAGCCTAAAGTTTGTGTGTAGAGTTGGAGGCAGGGGTGGACATGTGGTCTACGACAGATTGGTGCTCTTCTCTTCTGAACCTATTTTTATCTTTCTGTTCATTGATTTATTGATAATTGATTCCTTATAAGAACTGTGTTATGTAAAAAGTATTACAGGAAAATGAGTTTCTCACACACATACACGTTGACAGAAGACTGAGGTAAAAAGCATAAACTAAGCAAAGTGTAGATTTTGCTTCTGTGTACTTCTCTAGGCAGGGTCTGCTTTGTCCCCAACCTAATCACACTAACTGTCATTAGGGGATATTATGGATACCTTGCTTTAAAAATTGATTTTATGGTCACTCTTGTAATTTAGAATCATTTTTAAGAAATTATGGCCAAAATGTTTAGAGCGTTGCTATATTGTTCTTATTTTTATCCTCTCTTTCTCTTTCTGAGAAATCATTTTAAAAATACACAATGAAAAGACTTTAAGATAAGGCTTTTGGGGACATTAACTTATATTCCTTATGTACCGAGGACAAACAATGGGACAGAAGTCTTAAAGGCAAGAACAAAGTGTGGTTGCCTTAGAGGTGAAAGTTGGCAGTTATTTTCAGGGAGTATGGACTACTTTTTTGCTTGAAAAAAATACCCTTTCTATTGAAAACTCTCACTTTATTATCTGCGTAACAAAGTGGAGATTCTCTGTGCAGAAGGTCTGTGGTCTTTCTTGCTGTTCTATTTTGGAGTGAAAGGTACTAGTAGAAAATGAGTTTAAATTACAGTTACAGCAGACTGAGGTAGAAAGCACAGGCTGAGAGCAGATGCCTGGGTTTGAACTCTGCCTGCCTCTCAGATGTGTAAAAACAAAGTGGTAAGAGATGCCTGCATTTCAGCCTTGATGCTGCAGTCTTAGCAAAAAGTTAAAATATTTAAAATTTAAATCCAGTTAGCAAATTTTGATCTCTGAGTGAACGAGTTACATATTAAAATTTATCATTGCATCATACCTTTTTGCTGTAATGTGTTTTAATATTTTAAAGCTGAGCCTACTTAGCAAAGAGCACTTTTTGATTGTTACCTAATATTTCCTAATCTTACTGTCTTTAGAAAGGAACAGAAAGTTTATGTTTTTCAAATATCCCTAACATTTACCTGAGACATAAAGATGTGCAGATGAAATGATAAAATATATGGGGAATATTTTAAAATTAGACGAGTATTGTATGTTCCTCTTTCTATCTGTATGTTCTAACTGCATATTCTCGTGCAGCTGGGCTGCATACACACAGGCATTTCAGTAGTCATTGCTTGCTTTTCACATGACCTTTTTCACCCTTCCCTGTCTTCCAGAAAGGAATTCACCAGGCAGGACTTGTAGTTTTAATTTAGAGACGATGAAAATGAGAAATGACTTCATTTCAAATTTGAGAAAAATGTGAACTTATTTTTCATGATTCAAAATTAGACATCAGTTTTAGAGCAAACTATCCATAAGCACATCATCTCTGTTTTGTGTTATTTTAAAATTCCATTTGTGGCAAAAAGTGTTTTCTGGACTTGCTCGTGGTGCCTGATTCATTAACTTCTTGTTTTTTAAAGGATTGCAGTCACACTAGCTAAAGCTAGTTCAGTTTTGTTCTAGAATAGCCATTTCTCTCTGTTCTGCAGCCTTACTTGCAATTCTGAAACACATTTCTTTGTTCACGATGCCCTTACAGGAATTCGTAAGTGTCTGGGTCCGAGATCCTAGGATTCAGAAGGAGGACTTTTGGCATTCTTATATTGACTATGAGATATGTATTCACGTAAGTATGCAGTTGGTAGTCAGTTTATTTTATGGGATCCATGATATACTAAAATTGAAAAGTTTTTCTAATTCAAAGAATTTAATTTGAATGACTACAGTACTAATGCTAATATCTTTAATGAAGCAGTAAGATGGTTCTTAAAATTGAAAAAAATTTTATTTTAAACCCTTATTGTACTTTTTAGATATTAATATTTTAATGTTTATTGTCTTCATGTATGAAGATGTGAATACATCTAAAATTCGTGCATAAAGAGTTTTTATAACTCGCTAATGGTATTTCTTTATGATCTGTTATAACATACTCCTGGATAATATAGTGCCTGATAAATCTAAAGTTTGAGAGAATATAGAATTCTCAGGAAAAGGGATATATAAAATTTTATATATAGAATCAACAAGTAGGCAGTTAGTATGTGCAGTTAATTTGCTTTAGTCTAGCTTTTGATACACCTTATTTTGAAATACTATCAGAATTTCCTGAATAATTTTTTTGTGGCATGTGGCCATCTATGATTATCCCAAGCAAGGGTCAGCAAACTTTTCCTGTAGAAGGCCAGGCAATAAATATCTTCAGGTTTGGGGCCCATGCAGCTCTATTGTAGCACTCGGTTCTAGTGTAAGCCGAGAGCAGCCATAGACAATACATGAGCAGAATCAAGCCCCATAAAACTGTTTGCCAAGACAGGTGGCAGGCTGAATCTGGCCCGTGAGCTGTGGTTTATTGGCCCTTGGTCTTAAAGATAATCACTTTCCCCATCTTATTTAATCGAGACTTCTCTTGGGAGCATAGACACTGGCTCAGAATTTATCTAAGACTAAATACTATATCTGAGGTAAAATTTAGCCATCATTTAATTTTCCCACTGTAAATCATTAACATTGGCATATTGGTCACCCAAACCCAGTCACAAATTTTTTTACTTTTAAGATACTTTAGTTTAGAAAATAAACCAAGTAAAATCTCAGAATTGATTTTTTTGATGCTGATTATATTGTACACCATTGCTAGGATATGCTGTATATTTTTATTTTGTTTCAGTTTTATTCATAAGCTTATATCGGAGCTATGTCATGTGTAGAATACTGTGAACACATAAGAATAAGCATGTGAAATAAAATGAAACTCTTTAACTTCTCTTAAAAATTATGACTCCTTTTCACCCACTATATAAGAGGCTTGAAATGTAATTATTCTTAAGAGCTAATGAGAGCATAGATTCTTCTTTGCTAATAAATAACACGGCATGCGTTCAGAAATCTTTTTCTAGATCCAGAGACGATAGGGTCATACAAATATTATTTGGTGGTGGTCTGACATTTCTTTGCAATGCTGATAAGTTGGCAGTGAATGAATCTTGTCTTGGTGGGTAGCAGAGACAGACTTAAATGGACTTAGTGCCTCATCACAGTCTGATCCTGAAGAGGCTTCTACCTGTTGTAAAATGAGAAGTGGATGGCGGGGCTGGAGAGTCCTCAGCAGCCTCTGTTAGATGCTACACCTGGGCAGGTTTGCAGGCAGAGAAGCTGGTGATTAACTCATTTAAATTAACCTCAAGGGAAATAATAGTAGGCAACTCAGAAATCTTGATACTTACTTGGAATTTTGAATGAGTAGAGGATAGAGCTTTGTGGGCCGCCATCTATATTGTCCTCAGCCTATCCTGTGAAAGAACTCTGACCTGGACCTTATTTCGGTGATGTCGGGTGGATCTTTCTTTACAAACATCCGCAATGATTGTGAGCAAGCGGATAAATTGAGGGGGGTTTAAATGGACTGAGTCCATATGGGAGGTGTCAGGAGTCCCTGAAGTGGCTTGGTGCTCTCTGGGGAAAGAATACTGAGAGGACACCTGCTCAGGCGTTGTTAGCGCACTAATTCTGGTGTAACTCTGCCCATAAGGGGGAGGCCTGAAATCACAGAATGTTACTGTGCCATAGACTCCTAGCAGCATGTTTTGCTACTGAGTCATCAAAGATGGTAGGATCTAGAACACTAGCTACTTGGGAGGTGAGTCTCTTAATCTCCCTGCATCCTGAGGTTTTCTGAACTTTAGAACCACCAGGAACTGTGCCATAGATTTCATGGGAACAGTTTAAGAACGAATGCACATAATCATTAGATTTCCCAAGAAAAACAACTAATGAGCTTACTAAATGGCAGAATATTTGCCAGTTTCTATGTTACCCAAAGAATATTTACCCATCTTCTGTTTGACCAAAGGAGAAGCATTATGGCTTAGCTTAGAAGTGGCTTTTGCCAAATCTGTTTCAGGGTAGCTGCAGGGAATCCAACAGTAGTAACTAATAATATTAATAAACAACATTTAACAAATGCTTGTTGATCTTGCAAACTTCTGAAGTACATGTGTGCAGTTTCATCCCTGTTTTACCTCCCTGTCCTATCTGGGAGAGAAGGCAAGTGCTGTTCTTCAGTTCAGCAGTGATTTCAGGATTCATGTGACCTTTGTGATCTGTAGGGACTGTCATGTTGAAGAGACCCCTGAGGTGTGGTGAAGAAGCTGTCGCTAGTCCCAAACACTCTTTCACCAATGTGGATGATGTTAAAATGCAGTGGATGACCTTGAGCTCTTACTGCCTTTGTATGTTAGGATTTATTTTTCATGATTCTTCCTTGAAAACAATATTCCTAATTAGGTGAGTGGGAAGCTTCTTCAGGACCCAGGCTGTGGCAGGGCCAGGCCACTGCTCATTCCGTCATCCCCACTGGCTTTAGGGCTGAGGTGTTGGTGGGTTACATGCAGGATTTCTGAGGACTGGGCCAGGGATTTAGTTCAGTGGTGCCACCGCCTGCCATGTAAGCCCAAGGTCCTGAGTTCAATCACTGGTATGAAAAAAAAAAAATCTCTGAGGACTATTGTAAATATAGTTTGGGTGGTTTTACATCTTACTTAGGGCAAATATTGGGGTCACATTAAATCTCATAAGAAAAGCCTTTTTCCTCAGATGAGGCTCATATTTGTCTTTTTTTGGTACAGACTAATAGCATGTGTTTTACAATGAAAACATCCTGTGTACGAAGAAGATATAGAGAATTTGTGTGGCTGAGACAGAGACTGCAGAGTAATGCACTGCTGGTGTAAGTGACACTCCTCAGTGTATTGAGGAAACTTTTATTATGACTACCTACTTAAAAATTAAGGGCTGGGGATTTAGCTCAGTGGGTCTGATGCCTGCCTCGCAAGTGCAAAGATCTGAGTTTGATCCTCGATACAAAAAAAAAAAAAAAATTGATATGAATTAAAAATAAATGCAATATAAAGAATTTTACAAGCTTTCTTCTTGATTGCAAGATATGGCTTCAGTTAGTTTTGTGGCTACTACATCTGATTTTAAAATTTATCACTTGAATTTCACCAGATTTCAGGGATATTGACTAAGAAAGACCCTAGAAATTTAGACATGGGTTTTTCTTTGATTTATGCCTTATATAATAATTATATAATAGCTATGTTGTAATTATGATTACGCATAAATTGCCTTCACTTTGGGAGATTTCAATAACTAAGTCACCTTGATTTGGTAATTAATTTTTTTTCTTCCTCACAAGGCAACTGCCGGAACTTCCATCTAAAAACCTGTTTTTCAATATGAACAATCGCCAGCACGTTGATCAGCGTCGTCAGGGTTTGGAAGATTTCCTCAGAAAGTGAGTGAACAGAAACTGGCCAGACCTGAGATGTGAGCAAAGAGGACTGTGAGCGCTGTGGGTGCTATAGGGGAGGATTTTACTGTTTCTGAACACGAGTCAGCCACGCTCACAAATTCATGTCCTGTATTAGAGTGCCATCTTGTGGCTCACCTCATATGGCACATATTTGGGACTGATTTTCTAGAAAACAAAGAATAATGGAGTGTTGGGGGGAATATACGATCTCTTAAGATGTAGAGCAGATAAAGATTCTTTGGGAGTTCCAATGACAAAAGTAAAATTTAACCAGGAAACAAATGTGCCTTGTTAGACAAAGGCTCTTAAAAACTATCTTCATTTACAGCATTTAGGATTGACAGACTGAAATCATCTTTACAGCAGGCTGTTTATAATACCCTTCTGGGCTCCACCGAGTAAAGGGCTAAATTCTTCCCTTCAGAGGGAATGTGTGTAAAGGAGTATTGGTGGCATCTGAAGAGTCTCAAAAGGCTTCATTCTGGATTACTCAGTGATGGAGGATACTTTCATTAGAGCTGCTTGAATACAGACAGCGAGGGTTTCCCTTTGTCTTGCTCTTTGGAAGATAGAATACCTGTCCCATGGGAGGCTTGTCAAATGCTTGCACACTGACTCTGAGGCCTGGCTGCTTAGGTTCAAATCCTGGCTGTGGTACTTAACTGGCTTGGGAGTGTGTTTCCCATCTATAACATGAGGTAATCACAGAACCTGCCTCATGAGATGGTTGAGAAGATTAAATGGGCTAATGAATATGAAGCGCTCGCAACAGTATACTGTGTCTGGCACAAAGTGTCTAAATGTTGGCCAGTCTTTATTTTACAGTGCTGGGGATCAAACCCATGGCCTCATGCATGCTAGGCAGGCACTCCACCACTAAGCTACACCCTTGGCCCTACAGCATCATTATTTAAATGCCCGTAGACATGAAATAGCTTTGAGTTTATTTTTCTAACTTCTTATTCTGTAGGTAAAGATACAGGCTGAGTCATATGACTACTAGTTAGTAGCAGGACCCAGATTCCCAAATGTTCATTTTTTTTCCCCAGTGGTTTTGAGATCAGAAATCATCTCCCTTCAAGTTCACCGAATAGGACCCTAGAGCAAGCCTCAAATAATATACTGCCTTCTTCCCATATGGCTCACTCGTAAAGGTCTGGGTATTAAGTATGCCCATGAATATTAATATTTATTTCTATTACACTGACACACTGCCCTTCCTTTGAAAGGTTCATGGAGACATACAGAAAGAGCCAGGCTTATAAATTGAGGGAGGGCAGGGAAAGGAAGAGAAGCCAGAGGAATAAATATGAGAAAAGACCAGAAAAACTGATTAGTGGAGTCAGGTCATCCAAAAACATTATAGTGGGGTTCTTTTATATGTTGTACCCATGAAGCAACAAAGAACTGCTCAAGTTTTCTCTGCTCTTTCCCTTTAGAGACAGCTCTGATCCTAATAATTGTCTCCATGGGACCCAGGTGGCAAAAGGCTTCTCCCTTAGTATGTGGTCCTGCGGACCAAGTTTGTAAAGCAGCACTTGCTCCAGATGCTCTCCCAGGGAACTTGGGCCTGGCCACTTCCAGGGAGGCCTGGGCAGGGGTGGCGAATCCCATGGTCCCAGCCAGCACTGGGCAGCTGCTCATCTTCTGTAAAGAAGCCTCCTTGTTTGAGATTAAAAGACAGTACGTGAATGTATTTATATCATGAGTTAAGAACAGGGCATGTGTTTTTAACCAGGAATCCCTTCATTGTTTTTAATACAACCTTTTCATCCACAGTTGATCTACCAAAACTAATACCCCTTGAGCACGGTGGGATTATGTGTGCACAGGTTATTTTTTGCTCATTGTGTTGTTGAGCTGTTTGGAGGTGTATTTGATGGTGAGATCATAGTGGAACGCATCCTGGTTCAGTAGCACCAGGAACTACATTCTAGATCTCTCATAAATCTTGGCTCTCGATTTCTTTTCTTGTTATGTAATCTTGGAAAAGTCACTTAATTCTTTTGAATCCCTTAATTGCTTTGAATTTCTTTAGAGTGGGATAATACATCCCAAATGTACTAACCTCACTTTGTTGTTGTGTTGTTCAGATGATTGCTGAAAACACACTCTGAAAACTCTGTAGTGATCCTTCATTCAACAGAGACATACTATGTGATGACTGAGGCCAGGCTGTGCACCAGGGGTACAGGACTACAAAGAGTGGGCCCAAAACTTCTCCCCTTAAAACTTCTATTCTTATGCGGAACTGTTACACACATATCAGGGCTATGGCTAAATTCATTAAAATTGGACCTGGATTATGACCAAGAAACAAATCAAGGAATAGACACAAAGCTATATTGTGATGTTATTCCACCATAGTATGTGAACATTTGTCTGTGAATTAGTTTCATATTAAAACTGAAAGCTGGTGCTTCTCTGATTTGAACCTAAAGGATGCAAAGAGTCTAATACCAAGCACCCAGTTGGCTTCAGACCTGACCTAACTTCTGAGACCCCTCCTCTTTGTGTGCCTCAGATTCCAGTGCACAGCTCTCCCGTTCTTCAGTTTTTGTACAAGTAGCAGCCTTCCCTGTCTTTGCCCCTGGAGCCCCATCCATCTTCCCCTCCTGAGCTGACTTAGGAAAACTGGATGTGATGTGCATTTCAGCACTGTGCTGGACCCCAGCTTGACGTCTCTTGAGGCGCCACTGGTTACCCATTAAGTGGGCTCACCCATCAATAGCTTGTATCTTATCTGTAGAGGACCTCTGGGAATCACAGGATTAAAATGAGATATAGTTGGGTTTTTTTTTGGTACTGGGGATTGAACTTGGGTCCTTGCGCTTGCAAGGCAGGCCACCGAACCACTGAGCTAAATCCTCGGCCCAAGATATATTTGTATAGTAGACTGAGCACACATTTTTAAAGTCAAGTTTTCATGTAAACTTTAAAGTTGTGAACTTGAAGCCCTGAGTATATGTTTAAACGCCATACAATCAAAGTGCCTCTTTGCACATGTGTGTATATAATGTAAAATGTATTTTTTTCATTTTAAGGTCATTGTAAAATAATACATATTAACAGCAAAGTACATATTCAAGATGCTCTTCATCAAGCAGTTAGAAAAATTATTTGACTAGTACCAAATAAGAATATACCATTTATCCAACACTTGCTACACATTTGGTATTCTATATGTTACATCTTAATATTTAGTGGCCTTAGGAGTTAAGTATTGTCTTAGTTTTATATATAAGGAAATTATAGGAAAGTTGGAGGTACTGTATTAATTCTAGGAAGTGGCAAGTTTATAAGTAGAAGAATTGTTCTAGCAAAATTTAGTCAATATGATTGGCAGATTTTTCAAATATTCATTTTTTTCTCAATTTTGACTGTAATTTTCCTTTTGTATTCCTTTCTCTAATTATAAATTGCAGGTCACTTTTAACAGTTGTAGAACAAGAAAGTTATAGACTCTGCCTAAGAAGTTTTCAACTATGAATAATGAACTTCCTACTGATTTTTTTTTAAGGTTTAATCAATATCTGGCTTTGCTTCTTTACTGACTGCATCCTGTTAATATAACTATATTCATACTACAATTTAGATTTTTACATTATATTTTTGTATTTCTTATAGTTTTGGGGTGTTTGTTCATAAAAGACATCACTGAAGCACGACAGCTAGATTTTTACACACACACACACACACACACACACATACAACACACAAATGCAAATTTTTTTATAAGTCTGTGTTCAATAGAGGGCACCACAGCACAGACCATGAATATCTTCAATGAAGATTTGTAGATTTTTACATTAAATTTTTTTTCCTCTTTGTAAGAGGTAAAGGGGCTGGTATTTTTTCCTACATCAAACTGCTAGCCTTCTAAACTACGCAGATGCAGATAGATATTATTATATTGGGTTCAGTGACACAGGACATCCTTACTTAAGATTAAATGATTTTGTATAACCACATATTATTCTTAACTGTGACTCACTATATAATACACCTAATAATATCACATTGAGGAAAACCAGATTTTCAACTGTGTCCATTTCAGGAAAAAAGTAGATTTTGCTTTGCTTAAAGCTGTCACAGAAAAAGGAGCAACTTGTCTTATGTCGTAAAAGTCTTTTCAGAAATTCCTTTAAAATTCTAAAGGCTGTTTTTAGTTTCTTTAATAAAGGCTTGACATTCATATACATTTATTTTTATGGAGGCTTCTAACAATGACATTTTATTGACCGTTTTACAAAGTACTCTTTACATTAAATTTGAAGTTGATTTTCTGCTATTAGATTTATTTGTGGAAAATGTGGCACAAATCTGACTAAGGAAAACATAGGATTTAATGTTATGATGGTAGTCACAATACTGTCTGATAGGTGGTAAACCAGATATGAGCCTAAGTGGTATTACTATATGAACCAGACTGAAAACACACCCCAAATTTTGCATTTTGTATTTTACTATAAAATATCTGAATAAAAATAAAAAAGCAAAAATACATTTAAAATTTTAAATTTAAAACTCATACCCATGAAGCTTGTGGCATAGTTTAACCAGCAAAACAGAAGTATTCTAAAAACCCAAACCATGCCTAGCAGATATACTGTTTTTGACCTCTGGGCTTGTGTGTGTATTCAGTTTTCTTCCCAACCGCCTCCCTTTCCCTCTTCACTATTGTGAGCAGGGCGGTGGCTCCTTCTCTTTTTACCTGTGTGTCCCCCAGGTGGCAGTATTAAGCAGAAAAGAAAACACTGGGAAATAATGAGTCTAATGTACAGTAAAATTGGAAATTGAATTATAGCTCAAGAAAAAGGACAGTAGCCTTGAGGTCCCGATCAACCTGGACTCTGATCACTTTTGTTTTCTGTACCCATGTGTTAGGTTACTAGCAAGTTAATAATGGTGCATGAGTAGTTCAAGGCTCCATAGAATTGCTTTAGACATGAAATAAAGCTAAAATGAATTTGTGTCCAATATCATTGGCATTAGTGCTCATTATTTTTGTGGTGTAATGCCTCAAACCATCTAAAATCAATTTTAAAGATTATCCATTATTTCATAAAGAAAATAAAACACATTTCCAACAGAAACAAAGCAGTGAGTATAATCCTATGAGCAGTTACTTGTCCTATGGCTGGCAGAAAACTACTGACAGGAGACCACAGGACACACTCTGCTCCAATTTCACAGCTGGTCCAAGTTCGTATTAGTAGGTTGTTGCTATATAACTCTTTCCTTAATTTGAAGTATTTAAAACAAGAATGATAAACATTTGTAAGTGCAGAAAATAAATCTTGAAGAGTTGTAAAATGGATTTACTACTTGGCGACTTGTACTTGCTAAGTTAATCTTTATCATGTGACATGGTCATCTGCTGGGAGAACCCAGGGCAGAGGATACAAAGAGAGCAAATATTTAGTTTCTTTGCTTGAGATTTTCTCTTTTAGAAAGGCCAGTAAAGAATATTTCCTTAAACTGATATAAACGTATCGATACAAGGGGTCTAACTGGATTTTAGTTTTGAGATGTGCATTTATAGACATGTCTTTCTGAGGAAATAATTGTTTTATTTTGAAGAAAGAGATTTGGTATCCTAATGACTTTGGAGGTTAACTAAATTTATAAATAGCCACAAGCGACTTATTTTTCTCATTACTTGTTTCAACATGCAAAATATAAGGTATAATTAATTTGCTGTGAAACATTATCCATTTTTCATAGATCTCTATATGAAAAATCCTATGTTAGGCAAAATTATACTTAGGCTCTAGTGTTCTAGTTTCATCTTCTACATCTGTTTTAGCGTCTTCTGTTACATCATTATTGAACTATTAATTGAGGGTAAATTATTACATGCCAAAAATTTTTGCTAAAAAGATAAACCCGTTTTAAGTGTAAGTGTAACTTTGACTTGATTTCCTACTCTATGACACAGATTTCTGAAAACTTATTCAAAGGTTATATGAATTTGAGCATATGTAGATTTTGCTACAGGGTATTTTTTTAATCCATGTAGTTCTGGTACACTAATTAAAATTTATACTATCCTTTAATCTTACATGGACTTTAATCTTTCATGTGGGATAACTAGTATGTACTTATCACAAAATCACTGTATTTTAGTTATATATGGTAAAATTGGCTGTGGTTATTTTTATTTGATTGTTCAGTTTGACAGTACAAATGCAGGACTACTGAAGACTATGGAGAAATTTCTAGTCAACTTCAGATTTTAAAAAGCCATCTCTCAAATGAGCCCCCAGTAAGGGAGTACTTATATACACACACATACTTGTAAAGTTTGTCAGTGTAAAACATGCTGAAAAATAGACTTTTTCATATAATTTTTAATAGTGGTTAAAAGTTTTGATGCTTAATGACAGCCTGTCCAATAAAGATCACTGAATTGATATGCTATTGGTAGTAAATTTTTTTAAGTAGACTAAATTTCTATGACTGTATAGTCAAAATATTCCCATAATTAATCCACATGGTCATAACAGATGGTTAAATTGAAGAAATGTCCTTAAAGTTATTCTTTTAACAGATGTTCGTAACCATTAGCTTCATGTTTTTACTCACCTAAATTTCTAAATAATTGAATAAAAGTTAACATATGCTTCATCCCTTTAATGGGCAGAGCACATAATTGATGCAAAGTTTAGCATAGCAGTTCAGTGGCACGTTCCTAAGGTTTACCCGTTATCTGTCCATCCCTGCTCACTGATTATTTTTCCTGTCTTTCTTGAACAGAGTCCTACAGAACGCACTTTTGCTTTCAGATAGCAGCCTCCACCTCTTCCTGCAGAGCCATCTGAACTCTGAGGACATCGAGGCATGTGTTTCAGGGCAGACCAAATACTCAGTGGAAGAAGCCATTCACAAGTTTGCCTTAATGAACAGACGTTTCCCTGAAGAAGATGAAGAAGGAAAGAAAGAAAACGATGTAGATTATGATTCAGAAAGGTACTTCCTTGTATTTTGGTTTAATGTATACATATTTACATAACAGAGTGCACATACGCATGTGTATAGATCATGCACATACTTCGCGTTTTTGTTGATGTAATACTAAGATAATGAAAAAATTAATTGACTGAGATTTTATTGAGCTGTGACAGCTCATCATAGTAGTCTTCACACACACCTCCACACTGAATTAATGAATGCAGTAGAAATTCAATTATCTGCATTCTGATTATGTGACTTTCATTTAGTCAGACTTGAATTATTCGCGTTTAAATTATCTAGCTAAAAAAATATCCAACTGCACTCCAAATGGCTAATTAAAAGTCCAAATTTCCTGTCTCTCTTTGTGACTGGAGATAATTAAAGTTCTCCTCTGTTACTCAGGCTTTGAGTGTGTTGTGAAAACCAATTTCCTCTTTTTATTATTTTCCCCCTCTCTTCTTTTCCAGTTCATCCTCTGGGCTTGGACACAGCAGCGATGACAGCAGTTCACATGGAAGTAAAATAAGTACAGCTCCACAGGAATCTTGAAAAATAATTCGAATGTTACTACATTAGGAATACAAATTGTGTCCAGTCATAGAGAAGAAAGCTTGCTAGTAATATATTCTTACCTAAAGCTCAGTCATGATATTCTGTATTTAAATTGTTAAAGATGGTGGCTTGTTTATTAGTGGTACGGTATTTTTATGTTGTCTAATTTTAGCCAAGCTTCTGTATAAAGCTAAACGTCTGTGAATGCTATACTTTCCTTTATTGCCAAGTATTATTGATAAATAAGATCCTGCCTTCCAAAGAAATTATTTGTATGTTTAAAAAAACTAGCTGGTTTTATTGAGTTTTAAAAGATAGTATATAGGTAGCATTTAAAATCCAGCTAGAGCATTCCTTCTGTATCAAGGGGGCAGTTACTGTAAACACAGCGTGTGTGGTGTTAGCCAGTGAGGAGGACCAAGACTGCCTCAGATATGTGGCAGGTATTTTGTAGATATCTTTCCTGCACTGGCAAAAACTCTTTGCCTTTGAGTATTTGATGAAATATTTAACAATAATTAATCTTTCCAGTATTCTATTTCACATTTTGATGGAAAATGTATCTTATGAATAGAGATGTATTAAGATAATGTTTACATCTTAGAAAAAACAGAAATAGTGTTAGTCATTTTACTTATATTTGCAATATGTATATTCAGAAATACATTTTTGTTGTCTAAAACCAGCTTAAACAAATTGTTTCTAGAAAGAAATCATTTGTTTTCATTATTATTGTGTCATTAGAATTACAGGTTAATGTTTTATTTTCTGACCAAATATGTAAATTTTTTATCACTACATAAGTTTCATTATCAATGATGGCTCCTTACTACTACTTAAAGTCAGAAGGATCTTACAAAAATTACTAAATTTAATTTTACCAATAAATAGTCCCTTAATTTTGAAAAGGATGTGAACTTGCTAATTTCAGAGTTCATTATTCATTTTTAAAAAAGGCTTTTCTTTTGGGGCATTTACCTGCAGGTTGGTATTTTAATAAAATGTCTGTATGTGGGTACGTGGTCCAAAGATAAAAATGTTGTAGATAAACTACTTTGAACTTCAAATTTCAGATGAGGCAGCATTTTTCTCAAGATAATGATCCAAGTTTTTTCCTGACTGAATGTACAAAATATCTCTGAATCTAAAGCAAAGATATTTTCACATAACTGGGATAACTTGTTGCTTTTTTATTTTAACTAAGAGTATAGCTAAAAGTTATATTATTCAAAAGTATTCAAAATGCTTGTTTCAAAGAACTAACAGAAAAGAACATAAAAGTAAGGTCCAAGAAAAAATTAATTTAGATTAAGAATGATTTATTTAATTTCTCCTTTCTTGATCTAAAAATTATTACACTTCGGTAACATTTTGATTTAATGTACCTTATATTCTATTATTTTATCCTCTAAGACTCACTGTTTCAATGCAGGAAAAAAAAATTAGGAGTTATTTTCCTACTATGTAAAGTTTGCCATGAGGCATCAACGCAGTCTGCAGCTCCTCACCAGTATGGGTTTGAATTCATACTGTTTCTGTTTCACAGCACTTTGAAGAGCATATACTGTGCCACCAATTGTCATATTATTTTTAAATGATGTAACACAGCCATCAAATTAAGAAATGCCTCGTATCTGGGATGTAAACTTAATGTGCTCATTGTTGTCACATTAAACAAGTAAAATATCAACTTTGCTGGATCACTTATTTTCCTTAAAATATTTCTTTTGACTTAGACATAAATTCAGTGTGTTTTAAAATGATTGGTAATTTTTATTGGTAATTTTTATAAAGAACTTTGGTAAAACTTTAATATTCACTTCAGTTGTACATATTTACCTTGGTTCAGATGTTCTGATGTCTCGGCACTGGCTTCTTAAAACTGATTTCTTGCAGCTGAGATATTTAGATGAACTGTAGCTCTCAATGGTTAGTTTGTCTCTTATTTTTTCTCTGGCATATTTTCTAAGCTTTCTTTAGAAAAAGAAAATAATTATGTAACTAAACTGAAGAGAAGAGATGTTTAACACTATTTTAAATGTGACTAAAATTTATAGAATTTGAATCGTGGATACTTTATGATTTATATACTTTAAAATTGTATTATTCTGACTAGTTCTTAAAGGGCAGACTTCACCTATAAAGCGAGCTTACATATTTTGTTTTAGAACTGGCTTTATATATAACCCAAGGGATCTACAGTGAAAGCCACAATAACCTGTTACTTAAGGCTTGTTTTAAAGCCTCACTTGGAAGAAAGTGATTTAATTCTAGTTACAATTTCAAGTTTTAAAAATTATGAGGGAAAGCTACAAATGTTTATATCTTTAAGCAGTTATTGTTTCTTTAGGCACTAAATATCTTGCCAGAGCTTTTCAAGCCTAGTTCAAATTTTACTGAATCATTCTATACAAGTGATGTGCACATAAAAGTAGTAAAATTTTTTTATATCACAATTAAGAATTTAAGCAAATTCATTCACCTAGCCACCACAGTTACCATTATATTCAACAACTGGATATTGTTTTAAATTGTTTATATTTTTGGTACCTTACGGATTTGTCATTACCGAGCTACTGTGGTACAAATAAGGTTTTCAGAATTTGAGCTGTGAAAGAAGATCCTGTTTCATGAAAGGACTCTTAAAATTTTAAGACAAAAATAACAAAAGCTTATTCTGTTTCCAAAGTCTCCCTCTTAATATTTAAATTAGTTTAGTATTTGATGAATATAATACAGCATCTTTTCAATAGAGTAAACTATTTAGGTACAATTTTGTTTTTGTTTTGGAATATAGACCTTACTTTGGTATACATAAACACATTTTCAAATATAGAATGCTGTCTGAAATTAGTTATTGCAGTTTGACATTCAAAGCATAGATATAATTTTGTTTGTAAATAAAGGTCATAAGAAATTAACACATTTTAAGAGTGGAGTTCAAAAAATTTAGAAATATGTAAATAAACTTCTTTACAATTCGGTATATTTACAAAGGACTCTGGTTCTGTTCTTTGCCTTATGCAACTAACAAACGAGTCACCATTGTCCCTTTAAGTTAGACACAATTGCTCCTCACTCTTGCTGGAAACTTTTCTCGATCGTTGTTATGAACAGTGCATTGGACACTCATTTATTTTAGCTATGCGAACTCTGGTAGTTAATGACCTTTTCTTTTTCTCTAAAATTCCAGAGGCTTCTTTTCAAAAGACAAAGAGTAAAAGAAAAAAAAAAAGCTACAATTTTCTGTGAATTTAAACTCTGGTGAAAGACACGATGCAAATAGTTTATGCTAAAGAGGAAAATACCCTTTCTCTCCCGACGAGAAGTGTAGCTTCATCCAAAACCCCAGACCGCTTGTCTTTGCTGCTAGAAGCACAGCACGGGCATAACTTGTGGTTGTGTTTTTGCTAGTTTCTTACCTCTGGGCCTTCTTTATAGCTTTGCCCCCCACCCCGCCGGCGGTGGCGCTCCGGCCGCTGCACCCTCGGCCGCCTGT